AGTAATGCCCGTGTTACTACTAGTAAGGCCCTTGCTACTAGTAGCTTAAAATGCCCTTGTTACTACTGGTATGGCCATTGCTTCTATTCTAGTAGCTTCTAGCTACTAGTAGTAGAGCCCTTGTTACTACTAGGAAGGCCCTTGCTACTAGTAGCTTCTAGCTACTAGTAGTAATGCCCTTGTTACTAGTAGTAAGGCCCTTGCTAGTAGCTTTGTGGATGTGAATGGACAGCAAGTTGGAACGATGTCAAGGTGCCTCTTCCTGCAGCAGCCAGTGGCTCAAACATTTCGGTCAAGGGGACCCTTCTTCGGATAGATCCCAATTATTGCGATGAAGCGAGAGGATTTGAAGCCGGCCTCTGCGCATCCAAAAATTACCAAAAAAGTTTCTTACAAAAATGTCTCGGACAGTTGCTTGGCCCAGTTCCAAGCATGTGAGACCAAGGAGTTCTGGAACATGGCAGTTCCAAGAGCGGCCATCTCCGAAGCGGATTTGGCTTCGTTCATTCCTCTTCACCCACAGCTCCAGCAGGAAGTGGAGCAACCTGAGCCAGAAGAACGGCTCTTCAATCACATCGTCTCCGACAATGTGCTCATCCGGCCGAAGAATCTGAGTGAGTCCGCCACTAGCTTTGGAATAGTCTGTCGTTCCAGGGGTGATGGTTTTATTTCTTTTGCATGCAATCAGATTGACCATCACAGGCGCAACTATAACGAAGATCTAAGATATTACTGGTATGTTTGCTAAAGCAAAAATGATTGAAACCAGGTGTATCTCTCACCGTTCCATTCCCACTCCCATTTGTTCCCTGCACGGAGGTGAGGCACTTCCTGAACCAGAAGCCCAAGGGCAATTCCGATGCCATCCTGGCGCTGCGAGAGGTGCGTGAGCTCCAGGCAGGGGCTCCGAGCTCCCGGCGAAGCAAAGAGCCGGAGGTGATTGAGCCCTGTGCCTGGAAGTTCTATGACGGGCAAATCGTGAAGAAAGTCCAGGCTGGACTCTTGATCGACATCAAGGCGAAGTCCTTGGGCCTTCTCCGTTGGAGGTGGGTTCGTGGAGTGCCCAAGACGCTTCAAAAAGTGGGAGGCTTCTTGGGAAATCTCCAAGTGAGCAAGATGGATCAAAAGGACCATCGCTTCATTTTGAAGCTTCACACCATCGGCTTCGATCATGACACGATCGAAGAAACCAAGTACACCGACATCTACAGCTGTGTGCATTGCTGGTCGCAGTTGCCTGGGGCCCCTCCCTACTCCCGCCAAGCTCCACCCAAGGCCGAGGACTTTGCAGCTCCTGTGGCGAAACCGCCCTTGGCCCCTTTGAGCGGCCGCTTGGCCAATGGAAAGCATGGACCTCGCCAGACGCGGGCGCGGGGCGGTCGACGCAGCCGAGGATGACTTAGTCATCCGGAGGTGCGACACATTGGTTTCAAGTGCACTGGATACAAGATTCCAGGAAGAATTTGCGGTGCTGCAAATCGCTTGACCGCTCGCTTCCCATGAAAAACACGTGCGCACGGGAAGACTGTGCTGAAATCCAGACATGTCATTCCTTCGGAAATTCCTACAGTCCTTGCACTGATGAGACATGATGACACATGACACACGTCCTGGGTGGTGACATTTGATGCCGGGACTTCCTGAAACCTCTGGACAGACGCCAAACACCCCTTTTGACAGGTCGATGATGTCCTGCGGCGCTGAAGGGTTGGACGATCGCCGTCGATGTGACAGGTGGGCGCGAGGTGAATTGGAGTTGAGAATACTGGGGCTAGAAGATATGTAGAGTTTGGATCAGTTTCAATCATCCTGTCCACTGTCCACCTATTAAACAACACGCCCTTCCCCCTAATAAGAGAAACTCGGTCGCATTTTTTCTAATAGGGGGTCCCTGATATCGGGGGGGTCCAAAATAGGGTCACCTGGGAAGAGCTTCAAAACCAAAAAGTCATCCAGACAAATTTTGTAATAAAGCATTTATTAAACTCGTATCAAAAATTCAAAAAACCTCCAGATCGAAGGGTCTTTCTTTCACCGAGCTCGTGCAAAACCGCATGGCACAGCGACATCACCTTTTGAAAGCTTTGGCTGTTAGTCTAATGAAGAATCACTATTCTAATAAAGGTTTTTTGAATTTTTGATACGAGTTTAATAAATGATTTATTACAAAATTTGTTTGGATGACTTTTTGGCTTTGAAGATCTTCCCAGGTGACCCTATTTTGGACCCCCCCGATATCAGGGACCCCCTATTAGAAAAAAATGCGACCGAGTTTCTCTTATTAGGGGGAAGGGCGTGTTTTTTCATAGGTGGACAGGATTAACAAAGGGCATCGGTGGTGAATTGCGATGGATCCTTTCAAAACAACGAAAGAAAACCTGAGTCGTTCACACTGCTCTTCAGCAGCTCATCTGAGTGTTTTTGGCTCAAGCTCGCTCCAAGGCTCATTGCACATTCTCTCCTTTGATTTGGAATGCAGCAACAACTCTTGCAGCTACTTTTCCTTCTCGAAGGTTCCCGGGAAGTCTTTGCTGCCTGTCCAACAGTAACTCTCGACTTCATTGTGCAGGCAGATGATGCATTGCTGGCAGCAATCGAAGATGATGTGCGCTCAGACCTTGCCAAGCTGAATATTCAGGTCAGGGCGGATCCATCACACCCAAATGACTCACCGGTCGTACGGCTCGGACGCACTCACCGTGGAGTTCGGGAACGTTCCGTTGGCGTCCGTTTTTCCGAACGTGTTCGGGGGGGATTGGGGATTGAGGGTATCAAAAATATATGTCTGACGAGTGAGTGTCACTGTTTTTTTATTTGTCTATTTTTTTCCGACTTGTCACGTTTTTTGCCTATTCAAACTGATGCATGGATTGACGTGTGTGGATACACTATGATACACTGTAAGCTCATATACATACATAATTTGTGTCCTGAAACGTGACTGGTAGGTCGCTTTGTGCTCGCACACTGTTCAAAGTTGGTCTCGGTCAGTTCATAGTTATATATGTGGTGGACTCCGTGGCGGCACATTGACAAAGAGGGGAAGATCATTATGAACGGGAGGGTTGGCAGGGAGAATCTGGCTGTTCGATGGTCACTCGTCACCATGATTTTCTTCATTGGTGGAAAACATGGGCATCTAGCAATTCATTCTTAATGCGTCGACCCAAATCCTAACAGCAGCAGTGACGAGGAGCCTGTTTTGTAACATTCAGGAGATTTTAGGAGTAAACTCCCAAGAAGTGATAACTTTAAATTCTGATTATGATAGTTAATATGATATATATATATCTGTGGCTACTAATATATATATATAGTAAATACATCGATTCGTACACGCAGGAAGCTTTGTGTGGCGGAAGTTGGAAAAGTCGATTTAGAACGCCGGCGCAAGAAACGAATAGGTATTTGGAAATAGAGGCTGAAGCTTGGTGTTTGGACATACAGGACCTGCCTCCTTAGCACAGTCTGTCAAACACATGGTTTTAAATTTTTAAATGTTGAACTGATTGTGTTTTGAATTCATCCCCTTTTTCAGGTGAACACGCGCTTGCTCGCGAAGGAAGACTTCAACTCGAACGTGACCGCCGGAAGCTTCAACCTTTGCTTCTCTGAGACTTGGGGGGCCACCCTACGATCCCCACAGCTATGCAGCTGCCTTCGATTCCCCGAATGAGCCCTATGGTGCAGCGTTAAAGGGGATGCAGCCACCATTGACGCAAGAGCAGCTCAATACGAAGGTTTCGAATGTACTGCTTCAGGAAGACCTACAGCTAAGGGAAGCGCAATGGAGAGAGATTTTGTCCGGGGTTCATGAGCAAGCCATTAACCTGCCTTTTTCAGGGAAGCGCATCCCAACAGTCTTGAACAAGCGTTTGACAGGTTATGTGCCGGGGCAACAGCAATTTGAGTATCCAGTGCATACTTTGCGAGTTCTTTCTGGCAGCTCAACCATCACTGTTGCACCCGGGGCACAGACCGGGCTGTTTGACACGATTGGCCGTTTGGATCCCCACACGTACCGCCCCAACGAATTCTTCTCCAACAACTGGGTCTATGAGGGGCTCGTGCACTATGGAGCGGGTGGTGTGCCTGAGCCAGCGCTTGCAGAGTCATGGACCATCACTGATTTGCCTGATGGTGGACAGGAATACCGCTTCATGCTGGCCCAAAACGTCTTCTTCCACGATGGCCCCGAATTCAATTGTACAGTTGCAAAGCTGAACTTCGATCATGTCCTTGCCAAACCATTGACCACACCTGGCTGGCATGGTTGGTACGACTTGCCAAAGCAAGTGAGAACATGGAGTTGTGCAGGATCCCATGAGTTCGTCCTAACCACGCGCGACACATACTACCCTTTGTTGCAAGAGCTGACATATATCCGTCCTTTGCGAATGCTTTCCCCTACGATGTTTGCCAGTGGCATTTCAACGAGCCCAGTGACGGAAAACTCGTGTCATGCAGCTTGGGGGACCATTTCTGGGCTGGGAGAAGACATCACATGTGCTGGCATCCGGGGCATTTCAGGGACAGGACCATGGAAATACATGGAAACCCAGCCCAACGGGGACGTGCAGTTTGAGAGGCACGGCACCGTCACTGGGTCTCAGGTTCAAAAGATCATCGTGAAGAAGTATTCCAGTCACTCAGAGGTCATGGCCGCCCTTCTGGACGAAAGTCTTGATGCTGTACTGGGTGGAGGTGTACTTGAGCCGGCAGACTTCGACACCATCCGGACCACTCATACCGCAAAGCTGCAGTCATTTCTGGGCCCACCCATCATGAACCGCATCATCGTCATGAACTCGAACAAGTCTCCCACCGATGACCTGAACCTTCGGAAAGTCATTATGCATGCAGTGAACAAGGCTGCCATCATTGACAAAGAGCTCTATGGCATGGCGGAGCCCGTTGACAAGCTTTTTCCCAACAACGCACCATACTGCGATGTCGATCTCACTCCTCGTTGGGACTACGACAGCCAAAAGGCTGAGCTCCTGTGGTGTCCTGCTCCTTCTCAGACCGAGAGCGACGACGCTTTAGTGATTGTGCTGGTGGTTCTGGTGGTGCTGGCCATCGTAGCGGCCGCAGTGGTGGCCCTGGTCGTTTACAAGCTCGGGAAGAAACGCGGAGCCATGGAGCAAAAGCTGCTTCAGTCGAAAGAAGGTGATCCGAAACCAGAGCCACTGGGTGAGTCTGCGCTGTGAGTGAACGGAGCAAGGCTGAATTGTATAGTGTAAAGCAGTTCCTGGCAAGTGGACACGCCAGGAGCCTACCAGCCTAGCACTAATCCCGATGAACTCTAGACTTGATTCAATGCAAAGTGTCCTTGAGACATCTGCCGATTGAGGCTTGATCCAAGAGAAGCTGAGGGGACATGGGATGATACATGGACTGTATGATCCTATGGATTTGTTGAGACATGTTCCAGGAGTCACAAAAAGTGGTGGTCTTTAAAGCCCATCCAGGCGCAGTGGATGTTCTGTGCACCCCTATCCTCCAAGTTCGGCACCACGTTGTGTCTCCTGGTTGAGACTTCTTTTTCAGTTTTGCATCCATGGAATCCATGGACCGCAGGAGGACTCCAACTACTGTGAATCGCCTGCTAAGAGGGGTATTGATTGCAATCGATCGTGTGACCTCAGCTGGACTGGCAGAAAAAGCCAGTGGCGACCGTGGCGACAGTGACAGTCACTCCATGTAATGTTTGGGCTTGTCCCTTTATCTGTAACAGTGTAAATAAGCTGTAAATAAGTATATCACATGTATATCACTAGTTATATTTTAGAGAAAGGATTTTATCTAACCATCATCATCCACGGCTAATCGTCGTTTTCGTTCTTCGCCTGTGCACGTTCTCGAGGTGGCGGTTCGAGAGACCAAGCGGTTCGCTTGGTGAAGGCTCTCGTCCCGACAACGGCTTGATGTCCCGACAACGGCTTGAATGTTGCGAGAGTCAAATGGTGAAGGCTCTCGAATCGTTTGACCCTAAAATATCCTAAAATCGACAAGACAGAGGTTGTCGAAAAAGGGTCGAACCTCGAGAGGTGGATTTTTGGGCCTCTCGTGTGGTGCACAAGACTGTCGAGCTCACTGGAAAGCATCTCAATCTGGCCCCCCTCCGTCTTTTTGGATAAGACTCACCTGAGCTAACTTGGAACAATCTGCACCATGTTGCAAGAACAGTGGGTTTTGGAAGAAGCCCCTAGAGCCTATAGTGTTTACACCCTGTGAAATCAGACAAGAGATTGGTTGGGTGTGGACCCATTGAAAAAAGAGTGCCCAGCGGATCCGTTTGAGCAGTGGTCCAGACATGGTAGGATGCTGGATGCTACTTCCCCAATGGTTTGCCCCACCTTTAAAAAACACAACAAAAGCCGCAGCAAAATGGATAGGTGCTCTTCATCCCACTTGGTTGCAAGGATGGCATATGCTGGTAACATGCAAGAGTGCTGCAAGAGTGACTTTGATACTGTAGATTTTCACATATCTTCACTTAGATGGTTTAGTCTATTGGTGTGTGCCCATGAGCACCTGTATATCTAGTAGTGCCTTGTAGTGCCCAGATATATATATAATATATACCAAAGCCAGACCAATATCAGTGAACATCCTTCAGAACAGATGACACATGGTCAATTTCGCACATTGCATGGTTGTTGGACAGCTCAAAACACTGATTGGGTCTCACTCTTGATTTCGCACACTCCCGTCTTTTTCACGAAAGCTAGCGAAGCTAGCTGGAGTTACTCTTGCGATAGCAAGGTTTCTTTCGATCGGGTGCAAATCCTAACCCCTGATTTTTCAGGTCGAAGCCCCCCCCCCCTCCCTCCCTCTCCCCACCTCCCCTCTCCTCTCCTCCTCCTTGTCTCCTTGTCTCCTTGTCTTCCTCCCACCTTCCCTCCCTCCTCCCTCTTCGCAAGTTCGACTCCGTCCTGTCGTCGCTCTTTGGCATGTGGTTAGCGTTGCGTATCTTGCGGCCGCACTCGCTCACTCTCACTCTCACTCTCACTCTCACTCTCTCTCTCTCTCATCCTCACTGTCTCTCTCATCTCTCTCATCTCTCTCTCATCTCTCAACTCTCTCTCATCTCTCTCTCATCTCTCTCTCATCTCTCTCATCTCTCCCTCATCTCTTTCTCATCTCTTTCATATCTCTCTCATCTCTCTCTCCTCTCTCTCTCTCTCTCCTCTCTGTCTCTCGTCTTTCCGTCTCTCTTCTCTCTCTTCTCTCGCAGGAGGATCCGGGCAAAGAACCACATATAAAGGACTCTTCACCCCTGCCTCCAAAAAGAGCGCCGTGTTTTTTTCCTACCTCGCTGCCCTCCACTTTCCCATTCTGGAGCGCTAGCTTTCGCCCCCCCCCCGTGGCCTCAAGTCTTTGTTCAAAGTGGGCTGCGTGCAGGTCGACCTGATGGACGGCCATTTCGCCCTGCCCAGCGGAGACAAACAGACTTCGTGCAGCTGCCTGGGAGGAACTTGGTTTTCGCACGAAGCTGTGTCCAGGTCTTCTCTCGAGTACTCTTTTGGAAGGGATCCCAGTTGGGAGCATCGGAGCTGTTTCCTTATTCTTCGTCTCCAAGTGATTGATGTGCAAGTTGTCCAGCCCGCTCTGAGCACAACCCCTGGAATGGGCAGGAACTCTCAAAAAGCTTTTGCACGGTGGGTTTTTCATCGCTCTCCCCCACAGCATGTCACGAATATCCAGGCGATCGGCCAAAGCAACGAAGACAAATGGAAGACCGACCTAATCGATACAACACAATGAAGCGACCACTGCATGATGCATAGATTCGACCAAAGAACTCTTGTGAGATGGGCAATGTCAAGATTTGCACCCGTGGTGCTTTTGCATGCGACATCTTGCAAGAAGCAGTGAAGTCCTGCATGTTCCACGCCCCCACCACTCTTTCTGAGGACGACTCCTGAACCCATCCATGACTCACTTGGAATTCACAGCGACTTATGGCCACATCATGGGCGCCTCGCGAGCGCTTGATGTCCGCGAGCGCTTGACCGACTTGGATTCGCAGGTGGCACGGGACGTGGCACGGGACGTGGTTGGTGGCTGAAGGGTCCAATGTTCCAGTGCCACCCGATTTGGGGATATTTAAGGTATAGTCTAGTCTATGTTATTTTTGGATATTTGGGGTGTCTATTGAAAAGCGCCTACGTAGTGAGGGTATGGGATTCGGGGTGTCCCGTCTACCACTCGACATCCGACATCCGACTTTCCGACTCTGCGAATGGTGGAGCTCAAATGTTTGGAACATGATGTCGAATAACCCGCATTCTGAGCATTCTTCTTGGAATCGATGTGACATGATTCGCGCGCGCTCCCTGTCAGACGTCTGTTTTCAGTGTATGTGTGTCCTCGAGGATCCAGTCGAAGACTCCAGAATTCATCCACCAGTCGAGCACGGTGCGCTTGCACCGGCTTCCACCGAGAATCCCAACGAGTCCATCAGGATTTGTTGGACTCCTGGGTGCCATGATCCATCTCCACATGAACGGCCACGGCCAGGCGCCTTTCGAAGAGATCCACTTGGACGTCTCTTCCTACGGCTCACACGGACCAAACGTCTCACCCCTGCAACAGCTCCTACACCCCCTGCAGCGCAGACTGGCGCGGCGGACGCGAGTTTGGTGGCTCGTTCTCTTTTTGTTTTGGGGGGGCGTAGTGGGTCAAGGGAAGCGGGGAGGGGAACAGCATTGAAAGCAATGAAAACCACATGTAAGGCGAAGGGAGGGATGAGTTGGCGACCCTTGACAGTGCTTTCGATCACTAAGGATCTATAAGCTCTATAGTTAAAGGATGTTGGGGGAACGTGCCAGTGGCCAGACCGAGAACCTGCAGCTGCCTCAAGTGTACATCTTTCGGTTTCTAGTAGTAATGCCCTTTGTTACTGTTGAAATTCACCTCATCCCCATGGACCCCGTAGCGTTGACTCTCAAGGTAGAGCAAAAGGTAGCGCTTACCGGACTAGCAGGGTTAGCTAGGTAGTTAGTACTATTAGAGCTGATCCTGTAAAATACAGGTTATCAGCCGTAGGCTAGCTAGATTAGAGCTATGGACCCGATGGATGACGACGTCCCACCAAACTCCTACGGAAGTGGCTTTGACATAGTTCCGAGTGTGCCCAATAGTTTGGATGCAGTTCAACGGCATGAACAAGCGGTTGCACAAGTGGCTGCAATGGATCCAAGGGTTGCTTCGGAGGTGTACCAAGAGATGCTAAATAGTGGTGGTAGTGTTACTCTTCAAGAGGCGACACAAGCTACCCTAGCAGGTATGCCGTCAGCCACCGTAGCTGGTGCGCCAACAGTAAACAACTTGTTGGCAATGACTCGGCTCAACGTCGTCAACCTGAATGCAACGCCAAACGACGAAGAACTACGACGGGAGTTACAACAACATGAGTTTTTGCTCAGCGAACAAGCCAGGAGGGAAGCTGAAATCGAGGCATTGCGCTTCAGGAGTATTTACGAAAGAGAAGCTTCCGAATCTATAGCGGCAACAAAGGCTGCCGCAGAGCAGGCAATGTTGAATGTTCAACAAAGGGCCCAACAGCAGGAACAAAGTGTTCAGCAAATGGTCCAACAGCAAGACAATGTTGCAATCAAACGGTTGCAAGGTACATTGGAGGAGCAAAGGGAACATTTTCAGCAGCGGCTAGCTCAGGCGACAGCAGCTCATGAGAAAGTTGTACAGGAAAAGAATGCCATGGCGGAAGAAGGCAATGCTTTTGTTGACAAAATGAGAACTGAACATCACCAGTATGTTGAGCAACAGGAGGCTAAGCTGAAGGCAGCTCTAGAGGCAAAGGATCAGGCAAGACATTCGTCTGCTGAAGAATCCCGGATCGCCATAGAGCTTGACTTCAAGCGAGAACAACTGGACAGTTCGTTAGCAATTGCACAGGCAAAGATCAAAACTCTTGTCAATGAGATGGAGACAACAAATAAGCAATATAAGGTTGATCGGGAAACGCAAGAGCAAACTATAGTTGAGCTTCGCAAGGACAATGCAATGTTGAAGGGTGAAATGGACGAGCTCAGACGTGTTGTACAGTCCTTGACAGACAGGGAAGAGGAACGCAAGGAAGCGGAGCGCAAGGCGCAATCCTCTAGCCCCGTTAAGCCAGGGCCGCAATATCCTGAGCCACTTTCACCTTCTGCTCGACAAGACGCTCACCCAATTGGTCAACCGCGATCTTTTGAACCTCTACGCACGGAAGGCACTGTTCCAGCAACCTTAGACGGTAAGCCCCGTGAGGAAGGCGGATCCCCTATAAAGACGGCTATGGATGCAACAGCGTCCACGCGCAACACTGGATTCCCATCAATGTTCTCAGGGACAGGGGCGCCCGCAGCGGAACAGGCAACGGCCTCTACGGACAGGCAACAATTCAAACAACCGGATCCGTGGATGGAGTACATGAAGAAGTCAGCACAATATAACTTCAGTGATGATCCTTTGTACAAAAGCTCCTTTAATCAGGAAGCAACAAAGACTAAGGATGATCGCAAGGACGAAGGGCCGGCTTCTCAGGTAAGAACTCCGCAAGACCAAGATTTGGGGGAAATCATCAAGAAGGCCTTGCTAGAAGGGTTTAAGGGCGCTAAGAGCAAAGACTCTGACAAACCCAAGGCAAAGGAGGCTGATAAGATAGATCTTCCCGAATTCCCAAGTCCTGATAGGTACCGCACTTGGAGGGCCGCTGTTCGCGAAGCGATACGGTCCGCGTCCGATGACCCAGACGCTGCGTTCGCATGGGTGCTTGAGGTGTACGTTGTTCGTGAAGACAAAGCCAAGCTTTGTTCCGAATTGGCTGACCCAGGCAAGTTTCGGACCTTAGACACGAAACTACTTGCTGCTTTAACTAAGGTTGCCAAAGGTGAACTGTCTCAGCAGATCCTTAATTATAAGGAATCTGAGGCACAGCAAGGTAGGATCGTCCGTGGTCGTCAGGTGTTGCTCATGTTTGAAGTCCACTTCAAGACCAGTGAAGAAGCGGGTGCACTGTATGGCACTGAGGACCTCCTCAAGATCTCGCTTGATAGCGACGACTTGAAATCCTTTCTAAGAAAATGGGAGAGTGTTCTGACCGGAATGAGTCATGTCCCAGACCCGGCAACTCTCAAGGATTTGTTTTATAGAGAGGTTAGGAAGTCCCGCAAGCTCAGATTTGACCTTGATGTTTATGAACGAGCGCCGGAGGGAAGTAACGACAGAAGCTATGAATTTCTTATCAATTCTGTTCGACGTTACCTTGACAGGGAAAGGCTCAGGACCAATCGCGAAAAGATATCACAATCACACGCGGCAAAGTTCGCAAACCCGGCACCGCACGACAAGCGCACGCGAAGCCCAAGTTATGGCAAACGAAGCACAAAGGGTGACGGAAGCAATCAATGCTATGAGTATGCCAAAACTGGTAAGTGTAAGTACGGGAGCAAATGCAAGTACTCACACGACTCTAGCGCCCGTCCCCGCTCCCTTAGTCGGGAGTCGTCTCGTTCGCGTAGCGCAAGTCCGAGCAGCCGTTCATCGTTCAGGTCAAGCCGATCTCGAAGTTCGTCAAGACACACTTCCCGCTCCAGTTCAAGGAACTCATCAAGAAGCTCCAGTAGAGGGAGGAAATCTGACAAGCCATGCAGGTTCTTTGCAAAGGGTAACTGCAAAAGGGGTGACAAATGCCCGTTTAAACACGGAGACACTGCAACACCAGCCCCGCGCAGAAGGAGTCCCTCGCCCGCAGCTAAAAGGTCTAAGGACAAGAAATCCAAGAAGGACAAAAGGGACAAAAAGAGCAAACGGGAAAAGAAGGACAAAAGTCCAAAGGCCAGTCCATGTATTCAAACAGGTTTCGCAATGTCTTGCTTAGCAGCAACCGCAACTCGGACCCAAAAGAGTAAAGACTACTGGGAATTCTCCAAAGATGGCAATGAGTTGATTAGGCACCATTTGAAGCCTAGGCACAGGTCGTTTCTCCCAACACGTAAATCCTGTCCAGTTGAGTCATCTAGGTTGGAAGACCAGTTTACCATGGTAGTCACTGACTCAAAGGGAAAGAGTAGGACAATCAAGGGTAATTGGAAGAAACACCCAAACGCGAAACAGAAATTTGATTGGACTGGAAAGTCAATTTTCCGTGTTGTGCAAGAGAAGAGAATTCGTTTTGAATTAGAACCGGAGGTACACACCTTTCCTGTTTGGAAGGAAATGTACCGGCATGTAGTGAATAAGAGCAAGAAGCGGAACCTGTTCCGGACCACTGAGGAATGCCCAAAGTCCCGCGAGTGTGACACTAAGGACGCCATTTTGGCAGCGGAGTCACTTAGGCAGATGCTCGTTTCGATGGATACCGAGGAGCCTGCGTGTGATTTCCTTTGTGAACATTCCCCAGAAGGCCCCGATGATTTGTGCTGCACGAAGTGCAGAACAGTCGTCGGAGAACAGGTGCCGTCATGTGCTCGCTTAACAGCGATGCCAAACATGGTTGGTATGGAGAAGTGGCTGGGTGACACTGGCACTGACCAGGACATCGTAGGTAAGGACTCTAAGACAGTCAACAGGGCCACCAAGATATTCAAATCCAACGAACCAATCTCCCTTACTACTGCCAATGGACCTATCACTGCTGACGAAGTAGTAGAGGTGATCTTGCCAGGGTTATGTGAATCCTTCAACCCCTACATTCTCCAAAGTACTCCCTCTGCACTTTCAATTGGTTTGAGGTGCTTAGAACAGGGATATGATTTTGTTTGGGGAAAGGACACTACTCCCATATTTCTTCGACCTGATGGACAATGCGTTAAATTCAAATTGCAAGGTAGGGTTCCATATATTGATGAAACATGTACCCCATTCTCAATTCCTGAATCACTGAGGACTCGCCTTACTAAGGTACTCGATTCCATCCACCAGTTCACCATCGACCAGGGCTACGCCATGGCCAGCCATGAGTCCGAACCCGAGGAAGACCAAGAGGAGGCTGACGAAGCTGGCGTAGATGCCAATGCCGATGATGGACAGGAGGACGAAGAGGACAGTGACCCAGAAGTTGAGGTTCCTTTTGATTTTGAAGACGTTCCCGTAGCAGGGGAGAGGACCGAAGAGCAACTTCGAAAGGAAGCAAAATCAGGGGCGCATCAATTCACACATCGACCAAAGAATCCCTACTGCGATGTTTGTAGCGAAGCTAAAATGCTTGCTCCCTACGGTAGAAGCGTAGGCGGATCACAACATGTTTTGGCGCGTGGGTTTGGCGACCACATAGTGTGCGACCATGTTATTCCCAAGGATATTGAAGAAGGGATAGAAGGCCAAACGTCAATGTTGGTGATCAAAGATGTTTATACTCAATACAGATGTGTTTATCCTTCAGAAAACAAAACAGCCGATTCCATTGTGAAAGCTTTTAAACATTTTCTGAAGACTTCTGATATTGTTGGCATAGTGTATACCGACAACGCTCCAGAAATGCTGGATGCCATAGAAGAACTTGGTTTCAAGCACCAGACTTCTGTTGAATATCAACATTCCACCAAAGCGGTTGTTGAGCGTGAAGTCCGCACCATTTTGGAAGGGGCGCGCTCCAACCTCCTCCAGGCCAACATGCCTCTTTCTTTGTGGCCTTATG